CCATTTGAGTACAGGCAGCAAAGATAAAGGCTGACCCATCAGTCGTTTGCTAGAACTAAAATGTATGGTTTAGTAAAGAAGCGGATGTCCCAACTTTGTACCAGTGTCATCTGAAATCGGGGATAATTGTAAAAAGTTGCGCAACGCGTGAGAATACTTCCCATAAACGCAAGAGTTATCTTTGAACACGGGAAGTGAACTAACAATAAAAATCAAACAGGCCAAGACAGAAAAATAATCTAACTGAATTGACTTCAGCGAACAGTACGGATAGCGGTAAACATTGGGATTTATTCAAAAATTTCGTAAATTGTATTTGTCGCACTTTAGTAATTATTAATTTAATTGGATATTGTGAATTAGGCAGACATTTAGTTCCTAATTTTGATGGGCTCAGGTTAATCTGTCTGGAAGCTAACTGATGGATATCATACCTAGCTGTCTTTCGCAATCCTAATATCCCCATAGTGTTCTTGCCCTAAAATGTGTTTATCATTTCCTAGCTTCAGTTCCGGAAAAAGTGCTGCTTTTAGTGAAAATATACAAACACTCACTTTGTCGCTCCTCTTGTTTATTTTATCCTAAAATGAATTAATTTTTTAGAATGAAATATTTGTTTTCCTGATCTGGTTATCACCTCAGTTCGTGTGAGTTTGGAAGTGCGGAGAAACGGAGATCGTGTAGTGTTTTTCTTTCATTTTGGTACAGACGAAAACATTTTAGACCGGGTAGCTGTCTCACTACGGGAGTGCTTTGAAGCAGAGATCATTGGATGTGATAAAGTAGGGTTGAGCATATCCGTTCTACTTCCCTATTGTCGACAACAAACAAATTCTGCTTGAATTCTGCCGACGGGTGGGCACTTATCCACCTAATCGAAGGGGCGAGAAAACCTATACAGAACATCAACTACGACGTTGCAAGTACCACTTTTGGGTGACACTAGTGTTCGTTTATCGAGCAAGAAACCAGCTGCATAGAATCGTGTCCTAGTGGTTGTTCACACGATATAAAGGCGCACATGATTAGCCAACTGAGACAAATAAGAACGTGACTAAGACGCATCAGACAACAGACCAGTTTAAAAGTCACACATTGTGAGTGGCTGGTAAATTATTCGCATTATAATACCCTCATTTAAACACAGAGTATTTAAAATTGTAACAAAGAAACAAAGGGGAAAGTGTTACTCGTTGCTCTGGTCAGCATTTTTCATGCTTCAAGTACACACTAAATGTGTCGTAAAATCAACAAATCACGGAATGTTTAGAAATACCAACCATCGACTCTTTGCATTGCATGGGTCTTCCGTCGATCCTCAAGTTCCTAAGTTGTTAGATGATCCACATGTGCTACGCGCCACGGCGTCTGTTCACCGCCTCCCAATTTGGTGATAAACAGTAACAGGACAATTATTGAGACCATTTTTGGTTCTCCGCTTCAAGTTTTAAGGTCGAGTTATCAGTTTCACCCAACTGATACGCTGAGCCTTTGTGGCCAAGGGGTGTGTCACCTCAACTGAAATTATCGCGCGCAGGAAAGAAAAATATTCTGCAGAACAGCCTCGAACTTATAAAGTGAAGCAATTGTCAACTAGGGCACAAGATTTCCATACTACTTTGCTAAATGGACCACCATCAAATATCCACACAACAGGGGCCATCTGAGAACATAGGAAAGGATTGTAGAGTCGGATAATCACAGCTTCGATTGTGGCTAAGATGCGACAATCGACCAGTCTTGACTGGTTGCCTCGGACTTTGTAAATGGTGTGGAAGGTGTTTATTACCTCGATTGAATGGTTTGACTCCACAAGGTGTGAACACAGCATTCGTAATTGTCTTAATTGCTCCAGTGTTCAACCAAGCCGGGTGGCGTCCACGAACACGTTCGGATAAGCGTCTAGTCTTGCGGCCAAAGTACCTGGTTCCAAATGAACAGATGAATGAATACACACAAAAGATGCTACAAAATCTACCACTCTATCCTTCAGTCGAAAACAGACTATCGGTTTGAACTCAGACGTAGTTTTTAGATGTGCAGTGTCGAATGTTCTACTGACTGCTCCTGTTAGTCTCCGTTGAATAACTTCAGTTTCCGTATCTCCTTTGAATGGTAAACGGACAAATACGGGATTCTTTTCGACTACTGTCCGTTTTTGCCTCTATTCATGTCTTTGCACCGTCTTTCCAATAAACCGCTTAGGATAGCTGTTTCTGGGAAAGCAGTTCGTAGAAAATGATGTTCAGTTCCTTATTGTGTCTTCTGTGCAGATTTTCCTTGTTCTATTAACCCACCAACGTACTAGATCTCTCTTCCTTATGAGCGGTGCGAAACTGTGAAAATGAATGTATTGTTCGTTCCAAGTTGCTTTCCCATGCACTGCTAACTATCGGAAACCATCACTTCGTCTGTTTTCGACCGAAAGAAAGAGTGGTAGATTTTGCAGCATCTTTTGTGTGTATTCATTCATCTGTTCATTTGGAACCAGGTACTTTGGCCGCAAGACTAGACGCTTATCCGAACGTGTTCGTGGACGCCACCCGGCTTGGTTGAACACTGGAGCAATTATTACAATTACGAATGTTGTGTTCACATCTTGTGGAGTCAAACCATTCAATCGAGGTGATAAACACTTTCCACACCATTTACAAAGTCCGAGGCAACCAGTCAAGACTGGTCGATTGTCTCATCTTAGCCACAATCGAAGCTGTGATTATCCGACTCTACAATCCTTTCCTGTATGCTCAGAAACAGTTTGTGCAACTACTCCAAAGTTATTCTCTGTGACCAGTTTCACACACTCACACAAACCCATACACACCCTCGTGCACAGACAGATTAGAATGATTATTCCCCCTCATTGTTTTGAGTCGTATTCAGTGATAAGTATTGTATAACATGATTCATCATGCAGCTTCAAAGCTCAACTCACCATTGAAAACTATGGAAGCACTGCTCAGCTGTTTCATCATTGCTTGGAATCATCAGCCGTGCACATAATCCGAGCTCCCATGGGGACTCGAACACGGGGTGAACGATTGTGAATCGAACACCTTAACCACAAGGCTATCCGGGATGGCTCTGAATGGTTTGTTGAACATCTACACTGCATGATATAGCACCCGTCGCTGTGCGGGAAGCTGGTTGTTACCGTTCGAAGTCAGTGACTGAAGGGTGCTATATCATGCAGTGCAGATGTTCAAAGAACTACTTCGTGAACTAAACGGACACGTTAAATTTCGCAAGAGACGTACCCTGACAAAGGCTTTTGTTCAGTTTATTGAGGTATGCACAACTAATTCAGAATATCCCAAACATTATCAAACTATTCTGAGGAGAAATCGGATTAACATCACCACTGCTTCTTTATGTCGCAAAGCTTTTATTGGAATACCATTTCAAGTTGCGTGCCAGAAATGGAGAATCATTTTATGAAGTCATTTCAAGTACTGGACGAGCTGACCCTTGAAGGAAAGAATAAGTTCTTTGTTTATGTTCGGTTGGTAGTTGACGAGCAAGTCGAGCGGGTATGCGTTAAACTGCGGAAACGCGTCAACTTGAGCAAAGCGGCTGATGAGCTTGCTTCAGATCCGAAAAGATTCGTCGATAACTTGTCGTCCATAAGTCTGGATAGGACGTTATTTGAGGTGCTGTCACTCGAATCAAATTTTGCTGTCCAACCAATGAAATAACAACTGGATATGGAGGTTCAGTTTGAGATCCGGTTCAATCAGCTGTCCAGTCTCTTTCTGTCCTCCCCACAGGAGTTACTGAGGTTCAAATCCAAACTTGTGAATGAGTGTTACCTACACCATGAAAATAGACCTTAGAGGAAAGGATTATTAAGATTTGAACACATGAACCGCCTGGAAGAATTACAGGCTAGTTGAGAAACGATGTTGTCGAGACCAGATAAAGGAGCCGGTACTGTAATCCCTAATAAATCGGATTATATAAAATAGATGAAGACGATATTGAATGACGTCTCCAAGTTTACAAAGACCCCAGCTAAAAAGGGCAGGAAGATTCAGTTAGAAAAGCCAATCTCCGCAAGACTGGAATCACTGAAACAGAAAGGAATGATCGATGCGGTAACCTCAGAAGAGATACGACCAACCGAGACAACAATTTCTAGGTTGTACGGCGTACCAAAGGTACACAAAGAAGGTGTCCAGTTGGGACCGATTTTTGATATTTGCACCTAGCCGTATCACGCAGTAGCGAAGTGGTTGACTACAATGTTGGAATTAGTAAGAGATAGGATTTCCAGACACAGCCTACGAGACACATTTCCTTTTGCAGAGACTATCAGAAATCTAGATTTGGAAGGCAAGTAAATGATTTCGCTAGACGTTACCTCACCAATGGCCCGATGGATGAAACAATCAACTATCTATGTGAATACGTGCAGGAGAGTAATACGGATCCGAGAACCTCGTTGGATTAACTGAAACGGTTACTGTCTTCCAGCAGTCATAATATCCAGTTTCAATTCAACAGTGAATTACATATTCAGAAGGACTGGATAGCAATGAGGTCACAAATGGGACCTTCACTTGCTGATACTTTCATGGCAAAACTTGAAAATAACCAAATCGAGTCGAAAATAGAAGACTGCGCAATATCAACATACCCAGTTAGTGATTGCATTCAGCCGCCTGAAGTATTGGCATCATTTGGTAATAAACATTAGATCATTATAAAACAGTGTTTTCCGGGATAAAGTATGCTATGCCATCCGTAGTGCAAATTTTGGAGGACCACTTGCAGCCTGTAGAAGCGAACCAAGTTTAACACTTGATGCTGGTGCTATGTCACGGTGATTTCTCTACTTTGCGGAATAAATCTATTCTATCTCGCTATTGGGCAAAAATAACCGGATTAACCAATCAGATTCACTTCCACGACAACCGAGGAAAGATAAACGTATAAAAATAGCTTTTTTCCGGGCTATCTATCGGCCAATTATCGGGACTGTCGCATTTTGCCAGTTGTCAATGAAGCTTCATCCAACTGTTTCCTTTGCTGTTGCTTCAATCCACTCAAACGCCACAGAAACAGTTTACGAGAGTATTTCAACTCCTCCTCTAGATACGACAGTGCGGTTGGTTCTGACCGTAATTGGGACAATGGGAGTTGTTGTGAACATTTACGCAGCGTTAGCTTTGTATCAAACAAAAATTAATTCACCACTTACCAAACTGTTGCTCTATCAGCAAACTGTGCTAGATGCATCCTTTTCCGCTCTCATTACAAGTCTAGTTATCTCCGACAATTACCGACCATCATCAAACATCGTTCCGGTCCATCCGATCACATGTTACCTATTTCAAAGTGGAGTTCTCAGTCGTATTGTTCGTATTATGATCGTGTGTAACATCGTCTGCCAGTCGATCGACAGATTCTGGGCTATTCTTTATCCAAAAACATATCGCGTCTATACGAAATACTATATTGCTTCATGTTCATTCGTGATTCCCGTCTACTCGGCAATTGCCTCTGTAACACGGGTTGTGAAAGTGACTCAGCTGGAAGGATCGTGTTTGGAACAAAAGTTGCAAATCAATAAGTACTGCTTGAGTGCTCTGGAGAGTATCTTACGTTATGCTATACCAATGTTCTTTCTGATAATGTCAAATGTGTTGGTGATTCGGAAATTGTACAAACTACAAGTTATCAAGATACCTCGTATTGAAAAGGTGACTCACGATGGTCATGCGGTGAAAAAAGAACGAATAGACAATTCTCCCAACTTGTTAACTCCGACTCAAAAGACCATTCTCCTGAATACATTTTGTCTGGCAATCGAACTGACTTTGAGTGAGATTGTTGCAATTGTGCTGACAATTCTTAGCTTATGCAACATTATTCGACATGATGTGACCTCGATCTCACGTGTGTACTACTTAGTCGCCGTGGTTTTTCTCTGTGGTCTGAATCCGTGTGTGGAAATTCTGACCATACGAAGGTTGCGCAGCACGGTGATGACACACTGGCAGAAGTGCAGATCAGTTTGCGCAAAATCACAAAGTGGATCCCACGACAGACAGATTCAAGGTGACCGTTGATCTTCAGCCGTGAACCATTGTGATAAGTTGTTTGGTTATTCATTCTCAATGTCATACCAGCTGCACGTGACCGAAGTGCATAATCTGCACTGTTTTCAATGAGCTTTTCGCTGTCTCACTGCAGAACGTTTGTAATTTTTTCTTGGTCAAAATTCATTAGAAATGCAGTTTTTCATCGTCTACGTATTTTGTTTCTCTCACCCTCGTTAAATTCACGAAAGTCAACAGCCTCCTTGAGATACACATATTTGTATCGCTTTTTCAGAGCTGCGATTAGTCCCATGTCACAAGGTTGTTCCCAGCTGGTAGAGTTCGGAGGAAAGAAAACCCTCCGAACACTGTCACATTTGAAGGCTTCAAAAAGTCCTGGAGCAATGTCCGTCAGCAACGAAACGCAACATCCTATTCTCTTTCTCAAGTTTGGAAAAACACTTCAGCGAACCACTTCCAACAGGTTTGACATCCATTCAAGCCTTCGCTTTATTGAAATAAGGAACTGGTAAATGTCAGTCCTAATAACAGCTGATTCTTTCGGTTTTCGGGTCAAAGGGCAGGGAATTTTATGAATTATAGTTGCATTGAGGTAAACGTTAGGAAGAGTTCGATTCGTTGCCCTTTTTACCTTCGGTAGCTGAGATATCCCTCCGGAGCACAAGGAGACTATATCTCGGAAGCAAACGGAAAAACAAGCCAGTCCCGTCCATGTTATAGATATTTTAAGGGCCATATTGCGTGATAATCGATTGAAGAGTTTCGAAGAGAGCTAACAATTCCTGATCGTTTTTGTTGACTTCTGTTCCTTCTGTCCGCGAAGAAGCATCTGCTATCCACACCAAACTCGGAATCGACTTGAAGATCGCCAAGGTGCCTTGAAATCTGATTCCGGAATTGGCAGGCTAGAAGCAATGCTTTTCGCCTTGGTAGTAGCCAGGGATGGCGGTACTGAAAGGCTGGCGTGAAGTATGCTGTCATTTCAGACATAAAGCATGTCTTCGTGCTCAATAAATTGTCCAATCAAAGCTTGAAAAGTGTTTTCCTCAGCCTCTTCAGTCAACAAGGCAGACAGTTCTTGGGTCACTTGACGATTCTCCCAAATCTTTCAGATAACAACTTCATCGACCTTGTATTCCAGCGCTAAGGCTCTCTAATTGGGAGCACACAGTTTGCATAACTTTAATATGATTTCTTATCATTGTGACTCATTGAAATGCTTTCCGTCTGGTTTCGTTAACATCATAATGAGCGAGGTACAACAGAAAGAGGAGTGGCGGCTGGCAAGCGTAAACTACGCAGGTCCAAGTTGCGTTTTGGGGTGGCCAACCTAAAGTGCGAGTAAACTTTGCGGGTACAAGTGGCGTACTCAAGCGGGAGACTACTGCGTACGGAAAAAATGTGATTCAAGTCAGTCTATCACTAGCTGCTTTCTAGGCAACACGTAGCCAATCCGAAAGTGCGATTAGAATTGCACTTCTCATCTGATCAAGGTTATTTCTACTGCGGCATTCATACCGAAAGTAAACACGTTTACTTCGACAAGGACAATTCATATGATAACATCACCAATAGTGGTCTCTGTTTTCATGAAAGTACTATCCAAAACATCAATGATGTGACAAAACCATAAGGTGAAATTATTGTGGCTATTATAGCCCAGGAGAACTGCATTGTGCTACACCTGAACTCGCCAGAAATCTGGAACGATTGAACTGCATTCTGCCCGAGGGATCTCAGGCGGTCTGAAAATAAAAGTAGGCCATTGGCTTCTTATCCGAACATACCAACGGGGAAATCTGCATCAAAAAGTAGGAAATCTCCCTGAAAACACGTCATTAGTCAGGCTGCAGTCCACGTTCTTCCACCCCACAGACAGGGTGCCTCGTTTACACTAACTAGTGACAAGGCCGCATATCCCACCCATTAGTGCAGTTATCACCCAAGTGCCCTTGAACCAATCAGCCCATCACACGTCACTGTTCACGTCGACCACCGACAAACAACCTACTGCCTACCCTTCCCACCAACTCGCTAACCAATCAGAAGCATGAAACACTGTGATCCGACTTAACCGATTGCATATGCGCACCACGGTGGCCAATCGATAACAATTCCTTACATGTTCTTGTGTTCCCCGCCTCATGCTAATATAAAGTGTTTATTTTTGATTACACTTGGGTATACACTTTACACTTGTTCGTGGCCCGTTGAGATTGAACCATCGAGAGATCACTGACCGAAAATAATCCAGAGGTTTGCGCACCGACACAACAATCTGTATGTGAACTTTTTGGTTGTGTTGACGGAAACCATTAGTAGACATTTTAGGTGTTAGGACTTGTATCAAGCATCACGTATATTTATTCAATATAAGCAGTATTATACGCGAGTGAAGCATCGCTGTTACTTTTCACACTGTTACACAATAAGGTTTTTTTGATTGTGAATGTGTTGCGACATGATGCATTCTGGTTTGGTTGATTTTCACGTCACTCCATCCCTTTCTTGCCTTCGTTTCAACTGACAAATACGTCTGCTCGTTAATGAATTGCTACATATTACAAGCATTTCTCAACTTTTGAGTTCAATTCGTATATCACCTTAGCCTCCAAAGGTCATTGCGGAGAACTTGCAGTAGCGTCTTTCTCCGTCTCTCAGAAAATATTCGTAATCACCCTGAAATTTGCGCTGCTGTGGAAAAACAAGCCGACAGTTTACTTTCAAAAGAACAGATATATTGACATTTGCGAATTGTTCAGTGTTTCTCACGCATAGGATCGCACACTACCCTGAAACACAACAGTCTCTTTATTAGAAATCCTCTTCTTGCAGACAAAAGGTTTGTTTTTGGGCTCGATGAATTCCGCATTGTTCAAGGTATCTCTAAAATCATTCTCCTGACCAGTTTAACTATGATTTAATACGGTATATTTTGACCGGTGACAGGAATTTAGCGACCCTAAAGTCATTAATATGATTTTCTATGTAATTTTTTTCTACGAAAAGTCACACTTTCCTGTGTCACAGCTCATCACGACATCAGCATGTGACGTACTGTGTCGGGCGCTTGAAGGTGGCTTGAGGTCTGCCGGAAATTGACAGAGTTTATTTTTGTATCACTTAATTACTTGCGAGTAGTGTGTGGGATTGATGAATCCTTGTCTGGTTGACTGTTCTTTGGGCTCCACCTTACACGCACAAACCTCAGGTCATCCGATCAACTTTGCATTCAGAAGCATCAGACTCGAGTGTCGCTCTGGTTAGGGGTAACACTCGTATTTGAGGTGAAAAGCCCCTGGTCCATACCCTGGGTGTGACGGGGGATATGCACCACTTATGATCTCTAACAAGAGCGAGACTCGAGCCAGGTGCTTTCGAGTGCACGGTTGGTCGGATGACCTGAGGTTGGTGCGTGAAAAGTGGAGTCCGAACGACGGTCAGTCAAACAGAGTTTATTTCATTTCACCCATCATAGTCGGGGTGCGCAGGAATTAAAATGCAGCTAACATTATTATCAAAGTCGGATGTGATGATTTTCGGTCTGCTGCTTCTTACTGTGACCGTGTTTTGCGTAAACCGTGCGAAAAACGTGTTCTCATTTACGGAAGGTTTTCGAACAGTGGTGGTCACAGGCACACATTCTCGATGCGCTCGCAGTTTACTGTTCTTCTCATCTTCCCTTAAGTAGTGCAATTTCCCGATTTTCAGTGTATCTTTCGCTAAGGCAACAAACAAAAGACATTTCTCTGACCACGCTTATATGTTCTTGTTACAAAGGCCGCTTACTCGACACAAGCTGATTCGTTTCGTGGCTGGTGCGGCGATCAACCGCGAGTTTGCTGTCAAGCCACGAGATCATGTATCACTCGCAAAATGCGTTTGTATCGTTTCGTTTCTTTCTGTAGGGACTGTATTTATTGTGGAAACTTTGGCAAAAAGGACCTTCCTTGTTTCTTCGATAGTAAGACATACTCAAGATTCTAAGTGATTCTAGAGTAAGCCCTATCGCGAACACAGGCCCTAGTTACGATGATCAGATACCGTGTGATTTGGTAGGGCGGAAACATACTGACGAGCTTGGTGAGGTCACGAAGGCGAAACAAAGATGCAGAATTCTAGCCCCGGTGAATTTTCTTCGATTTCATTTTTGCCATCAAGACAAGTGCAAAAAAGAAAGAACTATTCCGTCGACCGCAAAAAAGCACTTAAGGAACCTCGGGGCAAGAATTTTACGGTTTTCTGCAAGAAAAAAGCCTGATCCTGGAACTCTGAAAATAGAGTGCGGGTTACCACAACCTCGGCCAACAGGTGGAATAAGGCAATTCTATTAGGTGAAAATCTGGATCAGATAGGAAAACTTCATTTTCCCAATCTGAAGATATCATATGTGAACGGGTTTCTGGCAACAGAGTAAAGACTTTAGTTGTGCACTGGGCTGATATTTGGGCATTTCCTCTTTCAGTCGCATCATATTTTGAAAGGGCCCTAACAGAATTTAACGTGGCTGTGTCCGGCGATATTAACTGCCTCAAAAAAGATCTACAACACTGTCCATGCTGGAAGGTAATGAAGTTATAAAGCTTGCGGTTGCAGTCAAGAGCCTTTTTGATGGAACTGATTTTTCCAAATACCAGCGGCCATGGAAGAAAATGCATCATTTATAGGCTCTGGCTCTCTAACTGAAATTGATCAAACGGGTTTTTCTTTCGATTTGAATTTCGTACACCGGTTAAGAAAGCACACGTACTACCATTATTTTTTGCATTTTATCTGAACTGAAGGGAGGCCCCAACTCTAATCAACACCAAGGGCCGGAGAGATAAACTTCATCGTGTTTCAGTTATTTACGTTCCCATCTGGTGTACACTGGCAGTTATCAGAAGGTGTAGTGATGCAATATCGCCTCTTGTTTTGTGAGGTAATCAACGAGGTCTGCTAGTGGGGGATTTAGTCAGCAGCCAATGCTCTAAACATCTGAAGAACTTCCTTGAGGCGAGGGAACAACA